TGTGTTTGTCTTTCCAGACCGCCTGCAGGATTATGTTGCAAAAGAGGAGGATTTCTCTGATCAGCAGCTCTGTGGACAGGAGAGGAATTCCAGTTTGGACCAAGAGGAACCAGAACCTCTGCAGATGAAAGAAGAGAAGCAAGAACCAGAACATCCCTGGACAAAAGAGGAAATCATTGAGGTCCCTATAAGTGAGCAGGAAGAGCAGCTTGGTCTAAACGAAGAGACTGGAGAAACAGGAGAGAAATCTTTCCCATGTTTGACATGTGGAGAAAACTTTCTTAAAAAAGAACATTTAATGGATCACAAGAGAACTCACGCAGGTCAGAAGATTTATGAATGTGTTTACTGTGGAAAAAGCTTAAGTAAGAAGTCGAATCTTGACAAACACATCAGAATACACAAAGATGAGAAGCCATTTTCTTGTACGATTTGTGGCAAAGGTTTTATTCTTAATGGTCGTTTGACCGAACACATAAGAACTCACACAGGTGAGAAGCCTTTTACATGTCTGTCCTGTGGAAAAGGCTTCACTGTAAAATCTGCTCTTAAAAAACACATCAGAACTCACACAGGTGAGCAGCCTTTCTACTGTACTATTTGCAATAAGAATTTTAATGAAATGCATTGTTTGACTTCTCACATGAGAATTCACACAGGTGAGAAGCCATTTTCTTGTACAATTTGCGGCAAAAGTTTTTCTCAAAAAAGTAATTTGACCCAACACATAAGAACCCACACAGGTGAGAAGCCTTTTGCATGTGTGTCCTGTGGAAAAGACTTCACCTCGAGTTATGCTCTTAAAAAACACATCCAAATTCACACAGGTGAGAAGCCTTTTTCTTGTACATTTTGTGGCAAAAGTTTTTCTGCACAAAGTCGTTTGACCCATCACTTAAGAACCCACACAGGCGAGAAACCTTTTACATGTGTGTCCTGTGGAAAAGGCTTCACCTTAAAATCTTCTCTTAAAAAACACATCAAAACTCACACAGGTGAGAAGCCATTTTCCTGTATTACTTGTGGGAAAAATTTTACAGAAAAATTTTGTTTGACCAGACACATGACGACATGTGAGAAACACATGAAACCTTGAAATGTAAAACTAATTTTCTTAAAAGTTGTTAAATAGAGGAAGGTATGTCCCCTAAAAAGGCAGTTGCGCCTCTGGGCTTCCCCACCGGTTCTTTTCCTGGGAGCAAGTTACTTACTACTCTTAACTCAAACTGGGTAAAACCA